CAATGTCATGATCCCAATTTTACCTTACAAATCTGACTAGACCAGAGCATGTACACAGGTACAGATAAGAGCTGGAAACACACGGAATCTAGGACAGATAAACCCCTAAGGACCAATAATGAAAGTCGAGATACTAGGAGGAGAAGGGGAAGGTGGGAGGAGAAAGGGGGAACCGATCACAATGATCTATATATAACCGCCTCCCAGGGGACGGACAACAGAAAAGTGGGTGAAGAGAGACATTTATAAATTATCAAGGGTTCATAGGGGGGGTAATGGGAAAAAAGAGGAGCCAACACTAAGGGCTCAAGTAGAAACAAAATGTTTTGAAAATGATGATGGCAACAAATATACAAATGTGCTTGACACAATGGATGGATGCATGGATTGTGATAAAAGCTGTACAAACCCCCAATAAATGATTTTAACAAGAAAAGAATATTACAAATTAACTACTCCAAGCTATGCAGATTATTAAAATGGCTGAGAAGCTTAAAAAATAAGAGGCCCCTCTCCTCTCAAACAGGACACAATGAAAGCTAAGAAACAGCAAACTATTTTCCTATGAATCCAAGTCTAATGTACTTAGGAGATAAGTAAAAATTTATATGATATGTGAAAAATTATATATATATAAATGAAATAACATTCTAAATGAAGAGTTTAATTTTTTTTCTAAATCAATCATGTATTAAAGATGTTGCTGTTAGTTATTGCTCGGTGCTGTCACGTCAGTACTGATGCAAAGCAACCCTATGTGCAACAAAGCAGCACTGTCTTCTCTTGCAATACCCTGATGATAGTGCCTATGTTAGAACCATGGTTGCAGACACTGCATCCATCCATCTCAGAGAGGGTGTTCCTTTTTTTTTTCTTTTCGCTGACCCTGTACTTTATCCATCATTATGTCTTTGTTCAAGGACCGATCCTTCCTGATAACATGCCCAAAGTACAACGAGACAAAGTCTTGTCATCCTCACAGCTAAGGAGCATTTGAGTTGTGCTGCTTCCAACAAAGATTGGTTAATTTTTCTGGCAATCCATGGTATATTCAATATTCTTCATTAGTGTCATAATTCAAAGGCATCAATTCTGATTTGCTCTTCCTTAATCATGGTCTAGCTTTCGCATATGATGCAATTGAGAATACAATGCCTTGTGTTAGGTCCACCTTAGTCCTCAAAATGACATCTTTGTTTTTAAACACCTTCAATTGGCCCTGTACGGCATCTTTGCCCAGTGGGATGCATCATTTGATTTCTTGACTTCTGCTTGGGCATTGATGGTGGATGATGGATCCAAATAAAATGAAGTCCTTATCAACTTTAATTTGCTCTCTCGTTATCATGATACTGTTTATTAGTCCCGTTATGAGGATTTTCATTCTCTGCACATTAAGTTGAAATCCACATTGAAGGCTAGGGTCTTTGGTTTTCATCAGTAAGTGGTTCAAGTCTGGTTCAACGAGTGCTGCAACCAGTTTCAAATGATCTTTTGTATCATTTTCCTTGCATGTGATATTAATGATATTGCTCAATAATTTCCAGATTTTGTTGGATCACCTTTTTTTGGAATGGGAAAAAATATGGGTCTCTCTTATTCAGTTGGCCAAGTTTTTCTGTCTACATGAGAGAATGCTTCCAGCATTGCATCCATTTATTAAACATTTCCATTGGTAGTCCATCAATTCCTCATGACTTGTTTTTCTCAAATACCTTCAGTCAGTCTGGACTTCATCCTTCAATTGTTCTCGATAATATGCTACCTCTTGAAGTGGTTGAGTAAAAACCAATTCTTTTTGCTATGATTCTGTACCAAAATATGGCACCCCGTATATACTATGGCCTCCCAAAATATAGTCTCCAAGATGATTTTCTTTCACTAGTAAGCTTTGCAAATGCACACATTTTCCAAAAGCCTAAATATTTAAGTAGAATTACTTACATGACATTTAAAAAAATGTATATCCAAAAGAGAAGTTTTCAATTATTTATAATTTTTAAAACATGGTATAGTTTTGTGTTTAATCACATTATTTGTTGCCTTTCAACCACTGAGTAGATTTCAATTCATTGTCCCCTATAAGACAGAGTAGAACTTCTTCTTAGAGTTTTTGAGACTTAATCTGTTCAGGAACAGACTACTTGGTCTTTTTCTGAGAAGCAGCTGGTGGCTTTGAACCACTGACCTTGAGATTAGCAGCTCAGTGATTAATCCACTGCACTACCAGAGCTCCTTTAATATGTACTAGCAAGATGAATATATCTCAGGGAAGTTTAGATGCTTAGTTATATATTCTAGTCATCTGAAATTTTTTATTTCGAAGGACTGGATGGTCCAAGCTGATCAATGATCATTTTGATCAAAGATTCTAGAGAGGAATACTTATCAAAAAGGGGATAAATACAGAAATTCACCTTCTCAATCAAATCCAGACTGCCTGGAGCTATTAAAGCTGGATAACCCCCTGAAACTATTATCCTGAGATAATCATTAAACTTTAAACCTTAAATTGAAACTATCTCCTGAAGTTTTCTTTGAGCCAAAAAATAGTTCCTATTAAGCACGTCTCCCTTGAGCCTTGAGCATTGTGCTCTCCCAAAGAAGCATCTATGTGTGAGCAGATTGACAACAGCTACTCAAAAGGTTAGATGATAACCTTATAGAGCACTGTGTTTCAGCCTGTAGTGGTAGAACAAATGGGAGGATGGAAAGAACATTTGCACAATTCAAATAATGTAATCAATGTTACTGAGTTGTACATGGAGAAATTGTTGAAATGGTATATGACTGCATATATTTTCATCCAAATCAAGAAGTGGGTCAAAACATTAAAACTTTGGTTAAATAAATATGGGATGATTAATATTTTTGAACATGTTATCTATGTAAACACTATATACCACATCTATATAAGCATGCCATTCATGTATTTAGTATTTTAAGCTTCTCAAAAAAGATATGCTTGCACTATATATTATTGATTCTTATAAAAGCATTTTGAGGTTGGAGGCAAATGACACAGAGGCTGAGAGAGATAATATTTATTGAGTGTCTATTATGCAAGCACTGTATTAAAAATTTATTAGAGATGTGCAAAACTATAGCTACTTCAAGATTGTTGAGAAAATTTAAAAATCTATATAAAACCCATAGAATTGTACTTGGTATACAGCAAGTAAGCAACAGATTGGCTGCTATTAGCACTACCATCTCATTTAATCGTCTGAGCATCCTTGTCAGAGTAATACCAATGTTATTACATATCTGCAAAGAGATCCAGAACAATGGAGTTATTTATTTAAGGTCACAGTGGTATAAATGGGACTACAGCCCACAGAGCTCTGACTTTGATATTTTAATTATATTTTACTTAATTATTTTGGAATTGCCCAAAATATTTCTGGTGCAACCCCAGTCCTACCAAACGTTTTAACAAAGGGGGTTTTCAAGGTCATGTAATTTTAGAAAATATTAAAGGATATTTATACAGAATATTATCTGACTAAAGAGAACTATTTTTCTTGCTTTTGCCCAGTGCTTTCCAAACTCAGTTGCTTGCAAAATGCTCTTCTTTTAGCACCTTGGTTTTATAATCCTGTCATTTAAAGGCTATGCACAACTGGTACATGTACCTTCTAGTATTTATGTACCAATTGAGTTACAATTTAAACGAATACGCTCTCAAAAAATGTGCTTTCTCATAATATAGTCCACAAAGTCTATATCCTACTTTGATGAGTAGTGACTGGGTACCTAAAAGCTGTGAGTGAAACTACTGTTCGTTCTCTGTCCAGAGAAAAGAAGAGTGAGGAAAATCGAAGATGCATGGAAATGATTGGTCCAGTGGACTAATGGGCAGGGCAAACATCAATTTCCATGACCCTAAGAACGAAAGAACTAGATGGTGCCTCTAGGGTCCAGCAGCACGTTACTAGGGAGAGCAGGGGACATTTCTGCCATTTACAAAGCTTGCTCCGCCCATCAGCTCTTTGAAGCTGCTGCCCAGCCCACTGGAGTTAACAGCATCAATCAGAAAGATGCTCGGGAACCAGACATCCCAAAGACTTAAATACCTAAATTGCTCCTTTGTTCCCTCTCGCACTGGTCTTGCTGTTCTTAGTTCACTCTCTTGATTCCACTAACAGAAGAGGCAGCTCTCTCTCTCTCTCTCTCTCTCGCTCTCTCGCTCTCTCGCTCTCTCGCTCTCTCGCTCTCTCACTCTCAATTCCTTATTCCACTTCTATCTGCCAGCTCCTCTTTCCTCACCCTCCCCTTCCCTGCTGTAAAGTTGCTCTCCACAATACTGTAGTCAGGGAAGACCCCATTAACTCCTTCGGCAGACTCTGTTTTAGTTTGCTAGTGGGTCTGTATTAAACTGAATTTTCTCTTCTTTTATGTAATAGTAGCTCTCGTGGACTTTATACCTTTTAAGTTAGCCAATTCTCTGGCTTTAGACAAAGGGCCAGCTCTAACCCTTCTTTATCTGGCTATCCTAAGCCCCTTTCTCCTCATTTCTTTGGATTTCCTGTTCCCTACAAACGTCACCTCCCTCAATAAGTCCGTTCAAGGTCTCACTCTCTCTCTTGTCTTGTCTCTGGGCACCTAACAGTGCCCAGCCACCCCAACTAATTGCTCTGGAAAGGATCACATTAGAAGGCCCTGGATATAATGGAAGAATGAACTGCAACGAAACGCAGACTCATGTAAGAGACTAGGCTTGCTGGTCAGATAGAGATTCATGGAACTCCTGAGCCTTTGTCCTTGTTCACCCTTCGGGCCTGGAACCGAACCAGCCACCCTGTGACTAGCAGCAGCCAGATTTATAAGGGATCACACTATGAATGTGTGCACACTTGGTATCAAGGGAGCAGCCTTTATTCAAGGACAGGATTCAAAAGGGCTAAAGAAGGAGAAATGAAAGCAGAAAACAGGGAGCATGTGAGGTGGGCGACGTTACATCGAGTGAATTGCAGGGAATGAAATCAAAGAGAATGTGTGAGAATTGCTGAAGGTAAGACTGATGATCTACTATGCTGTAAGCTTTTACACACTTCACAATAATAAATTGTTAAAAACAAATGTGTCTTTTGAATCAGTGCTGAAAACTTGCCCTTGAATCTCTGTTAAGGACAAAACAAAACAAAAGTTGCCATCAAGCCAGTGATGATATATAGAGACCCCTATAAAACAGAGTTGAACTGCTCCCTATGGTTGCCAAAGTCATCAAAGCTTTACGGGAGAAGCTAGCCTCTCGTTCTTCTGCAGGGTGTTTGCTGGGTTCGAACTGCCAACTGTGTGGATAGCAGCCCTTGCCTGTTAATAACCTGCTATACCACCAGGGCTGGTAAAGTGACTGCGAAATTACTGCATTGTGACATCACTGTTTGATGACAATACAGAACCACAAAATAATTTATTTTGGAGCCAGGGTAAATTGGTTAATAAATACCACTAGCCTAAGAGATGTTCTAGAGGACCCCACAGGGTGTTAGCGGGACTTACAGTACTTCTTTATCTTCCTTCTTTAGGATCTCAAGAATCTCTTCTTTCTTTGCTGTCCTAAGGTGCTGGATAAAGGTCAGGAAGCTTCGGACAGCCTGGGCCTTGGAGAGGTTGTCAGGGAGTAGGTGTTTCCTGGTAGACTGCCAGCGATCCAAGAGCTGCAAGACAGGGCCGCCGCTCACATCCCGTTTGTATTTGTATCTGAGCATCCACACTTACGAAGAATGTGCTCCCCAGAAACAAAGCTTTCCTTTTATCTGACAAGCAACAGAGGCATTTTGAATCTTGCCTCAAAGTTCGTGAAAAAATGCCATTTTCCCACGAATTTTTGAATCCTCCTGGTAGACCTGATCTCTCCCATCTGCACCCATACCACCCCTGTGACTCTCAGAAGCAAATATGGGTCAGCTGTGGGGGGACTCCATATGTCTATTACTATGGAACTCAAGGGTGAGAGTTAATGTTCTGGGCATATAGGACATGGCCTGGTAACACCAGGGATTCATATCTGAAGTCAGATTTTTCCTGACACAATGCATTTGTATAGAATATCAATGAACTGCAGGATATCTTGGAGGGGAAAAAGAATTCTGTTGAAAAATTGCCTAGGCTTCTGATTTACCAGTACCTCACAGAAAAGACATCTGAGTTATAATTTGTGTTTTCTAACTCTTGATTGTATTTTTGTATGGGATCCAATATTATATTACTGTTGCTGGATGAGGGTGACTGACATAAGATCTATGTTAAGTAAGACCTACATCAGAGTAGAATTTTAGGTAAAGGTAATTCTCTGACATACACTTGTTATTTTAGGTGAACTTAAAAATAATAGTTCTACTCAAAGACATCTCTTGGCTTTGTAATATATTAAAGAACTTATTTTCATAGTTAACCATTTCCCCCTAGTAATGTATATCAACAGACTTTAGACACAGGTAACCCTCTCACATACAATTGTTATTCTAGGCGGACTTAAGAATAGTAAATAGTTCTACTCAAAGACATCTCTTGGCTTTTAACATGTTAAATAACTTATTTCCATAGTTAACCATTTTCCTCTTGCTGTAAAGAGTATCGGTGACCGCCAATTTTCTGGTTTTCAAAATTAATTTTTAACAATAAAATATTCTTCCTAATAGTCAATAGATGCTAATTTTCCTCTTCTCTAAATCCACCTGGTTCATTAATCTTAATAGGACACTTTAAAGCAAAACTTAGTTGTTGTTAGCTAAAGATTCGCGGGGTCATTTCTGAAGTCTGAGTCTGAATTCAGTTAATTTATTTTATTTTGGGCTTTAAAGTGTTATAGTAGTCAACATGAAGTCCAACTTGAAGTTGGAAAAGGAAACTACTTAATGATATTAAACCCTTTCTATAAAAATTAAGAAATAAGGGGGGGGGAAATGAGGAGTTGATGCCAGGGGCTTAAGTGAAGAGCAAATGTTTTGAGAGTGTTGAGGGCAATGAATGTACAAATGTGCTTTACACAATTGATGTATGTATGGATTGTGATAAGAGTTGTATGAAGCCCCCAATAAAATGATTTTTTTTAAAGAAAAAAATTAAGAAATAATGATAAAAAATCTTGATGGCTTAGCAAGTGGAATAATTGTGTGAGGAGGAATTATGGCTGCCAGCATCAGAAAATACTCTTTCCATTTGACACATTTCTAATAATTCTCATCTTTTATCATATAAGAAAATTGCTTTGAAATTTTAAATGACACTTAGAAGAAAAACAAGTGAAAATCACGCAAACTTTGATAATGCCCTGCTCCATTTAGGGTTTCTCCAGACCGTCAGTCAGGCAACTTGGGAAACGAGCAAGGGATGAGTGCCTTATGTTCTAAGTAAATGACGATACTAGTTCTGGATGATTTCCCCTTCTCTGAATACCAATAATGCCCAAAGGAAGAGCATTTTCTGGTCTTTAGATACAGAGCATGAAGAACCCAAGGGTTTCCTTTCCGAGGAGTTAGGGAGTTACAAATGCTGAAAACCCTAAAGTCATTTTGGAATCAATCTCATGCAATATGAGATTTGAGAGGATCTACACATTGCTGGAGAGATACAATATCTCATTTCTCCCGGTAACTGTAGAGGAGGCTGGGGTGTAATAGAGAAATGTTCCCAAATGTCGGCACAGAGAGTGGTATCACTTTAAATCCTCACAGGGCACCCATAACACTGAGTTCTGGAATATACCTCACCTGAGCACCTATTACTACTAAGGGATAGCACAATCAGGATCCAAGTGTAGACCGTGCTCTTGACCGCATTCGGCTAATTCTGGTAGCCCCTTGAGCCTCCTGTATTCCAGGAGTTGCTTTTAAAAAGCTGCCCTTAAATTGTAGCATTTTTTGTTTCATAACTATGTGGGGAAAAACAGTTCATAACATCAGAAAAGAGTCATTTCATCCATTCTAAATAATTCCCATCTGATGAGTGGAAGGTAATTATTTTATGATTATTATATTAGTCACGATTCTCAGGTGTTGTCACAATTCGGTGGTGACTGTTCCTTCTTAAAGCTTTGTCAGAGCATGGAACTGAAGTTCTATTGGGGACACAAGATTTTGTTGTTGTTGTTGTTTTAAGCCAGCTTTCCCCCTGCTTATCCAGACAGAGCACATGCACACACTCACCGATGGGCATCCTTTGCACTTGCTCGGGAAGGTCTGCCCCACAATGGGACGGGCCGTGTACTTGGAGTTGACTGCTTGAACTACGGCAGCAACGTGCTTTCCTGGCATCAGTCTTGGTCCTGCATCAGTTGTCTTCAACTCCAATTTCTGCCTGCGTACCCACAAAAGAGAAACGTTTACATTGCCAGCACTCGTTAGACGAAAGAAGATGCTCGTTGCCATTCTTTGGGCAAGCAGCACACTAATTTGTTCACATGGCGTGAGGCCACGTCTTTAAAACTGGAACATAACAAGGTGTCCCTTTGGCCTTGGGATACTTATGCCAAATTTCAGGAGCAACCATTTTATTCAAAGATTTGGAGTGGTACATCAGGATTTTTATGATGGATGAAAAGAGAATACAGTAAAAAACATTTGCCTGGATACTGAACAAGATATGTGTATCGACTCTTTCTAACTGAGCCCCCAAACTCAAACTCACTTCCAGCAGTCATTGTTGGACAGGGTAGAGCTACCCTGTGGGTTTCCAAGGCTGTAATTCATTACGGGAGTGGAAATCCTCATCTTTCTCCCAGTCTTCTGGAAATCATATCTTCCTCCACATGGCGCTCACTAATCTAGACAATGAGGAAATCTGATTCTCCAAAAATCATCTCACCAATATTTTTGTCCCACATATTCCTCCTGCCATTCTCCCATCAATCAGTCGAGTGTCAGTCCCTGTGCTTGATCGTGGGCAGACTCCATGACTGTCTTGACTAATGGACGTGACGCTGTGTGACTAAGCTAGGTCATAAAAGAGAATTCAACGATCATCTGCCACCTGAGCCACATACAGGTCCTGGAAGCCCGTGGAACTGCCGCATGAGAAGTCTGGTTCCTGAGACCTCCAGGCTGAGGGCTGCATGGAATCAAAGCCAGGCGCGGGCGAACCCTCAGGTACCAGATAGGCAAGGAAGCAACCCTCACATAATCTCAGCTCTGGCCAGGACTGCCCGCAAATGTGTAATCGCCCCCAAGCAAGGCATGCCTAACCGGGCCAGGTCACACCCCAGAATTGGAAGACAGAATAATAAAATTATGTTTGTTGCTTGAAATCATTGAATTTAAGGTAGTTTGTTACATTGCCTTGCAAATGGATAAACCTGATGAGAAATTAAGACTGTGTGTTTCACACAAAAACATTATCGCTGTAATGCAAATATTGAAAGCACTTGTGGCATGGGGCAATCACTCTATATTTGGTATCACTTCTGACATTAGGGCTCCTCTGGAGGATATGTTTTAGATGCTAATGCATCATTTGGCCATATTTAATGCTAGAAGATTTTTTCTGCATTAATATCTGAAAAAAAGCTCACAATCTTTTATTTGAACTCTAGTTCTCAATTCTGTGAGAACCATTCTGAAATGTTCTCAGATTGAATATCAGCCTTACATGCCTGTCTTTTAAGTCACATATAAAAATTCTGCGACATTTCTTTACTGCGGAAATTTTTATCTGTTTCATCAGAAGCAGGAATTGTGCAAATATCACTATTTTTATCATTACAATTAAAAATAAAACACGTGGCAGAGAAGTTAGACAATAAAACAGAATGAATCAAGAAGTTTACCATTTTAAATGTTAAATTATGCCCAAAAAATAACTGCCCATGAAATTCTGTTCTCTGAAATTAGGTGTGCCAGGTATGATTGTAAGGAGCCCTAGTGGGACTGTTGGTAAATGTTGGGCTGCAAATCACAAGGTCAGCAGTTCAAACCAAGGAACCTCTCCCTGGGAGAAAAATGAGGCTCTCTGTTACTGTAAAGATGTACAGCCTTGGAAACCCTGTGAGTCAGAATAAATTCCATGCCAGTGGAGGCACTATTTTAAACTTTGTGAAAAATAAAGGTGAAAACTATAAAAGGAAGACACACTCAGGTGGGTATGATAATAGAAGAGATCTTTAAAAACTTGTGAAAAATGGAATTACAAGATAATGGATTTTTTTCCATGAACTTTTTGAAACCCCTCCATATATTAAAGAATAGGGGGGAAATTAATTAGTACTATCTTACTTTGAAACTATTTTGCCTGTCACAGTTCGTAGGAAATTCAGCCCAAAAGCATGAGTCTCTTCTGCCATTACAGCAACAACGAAGCTGTCTTCTATCTTATAGGTAGTGACAGAGGTGGCTTTTGAACTGACCCCCAAGACCTACAAAAGAAAGTAAATAAGTTAGCAAATACAGATTTTAACAAATGAATTGCATTCTTCTTTTTCCTGATTTTTATTGAAAAATAAAATGCTACAGTTCCTCCAAAGGAGCAGAAAACATTTTTTAATGAAAGTATTTCTGTGACAATACTTCTGTATAAAAAGTTGTTTCTTTTACAAAATTGAAGAGATGGGGTGGGGAGCGGGGCTCCCCGCTTTACAATCCTGAGTGTGTTCTCATTTGAGGGATTGGAGGGTCAACTTGTTAAGAAAAATATTTACATAGGCTATTAGCAATCATAATTAGGGTGTCGTATAATTCTGCATGCAACAGCTAAGGAGAACTCCCTGCAGGTCCAGTTGCTCCTTGCCTCCGGCCATCATGCCACAGCCTGGGCCCAGCCGTGTGGCGGATTCCGCCAGATCCTGTTTGCTTGAGCGACTCGCTGTGTCTGACAAGTCTGGAGGCAAATACAGTCGCTCAATGGTGAATAGCTTCCTTTTTAATGTGAAAGCTAAGTCTTTCACATCTGGTATATCACCAGGGAGGTTATTAAGTCGAGGAATCTTCCGTATGTGAATCAAACCATGATAATCCTTATTTGGTGGGTTGGTTTCTTTCGCAGAACCCAGGAATGATTCCGGCCCAGCTACTGTACCTGACAAGGTTGTAACATGAGCGGTAGGGGCTTTATTCTGGGTGAGACGTGATGGCATTGTGATGACACTGGCTGACCGAGAGCCCCGCAGGAGACCGACCGCAGAGGACATAGGAGGAATTCGGAAAGATTGTGATTGTTGTCTCCCAGTTTTCTGTACAGCAGATGTACACCCCACAGAGGTGAACCAAGCTTCTGAATTCCTACTCTTAAGACATGCTTCTGTTTTTCCTGGGGATTGGTTCCATCAAATCCGGCCTTATAAATGAAGCTCGGAATGAGCTGAAGCAGCCAGAGGTGGCCAGGGGTCAGAGAACAGGGCCTGCTTGAAGAGCTGATGGGAACTTTTCTGGAAGGAAATGTCCGTGCCGTTGTGAAGCTTCAATCCGTTCTTGGGGTACTCTTTGGAAACATCATCATAGGGACCAAATCTTGAAGATGACACTGGCCCGGCCTCCATCCTGGGTAGTAGCTGGTAACGCCAAGCTATTAGCTTCTGGTGTTTTCTCATTACTTGACTATTCATCAAGTTCCTTTTGACAGTGATGATCAAGTAATGGGGCAGGAAGTTCCTGCAAAATGTCAGCACGGTCTTTAGCAGATGCGACCAACGAAGTATGCCGGCTGATGATTCCCTCGGCCAGGAAATACTTGAAGAGTAAAGGTGAATAACTGTCATATTTATCCTCTTCAGTGAGAAGAACTGTTCCAACAGCTAAGCCTCCACCTAAGAGCGGGTCCAGAGCTGGAAGCCCGGTTGATACCAGCAGCTGCCCATTCCGCACCGATGGCCAGTGGGCGTGCGCCCGCGATGGACACCAGACGAGCCTCCGCAGTCAATTCCGCCGGCTCTAGGACCCTTCCTCTGGAAACTGGTGATGATTAGCATTCTTAATGAGTTTTCATTTTAAATCGCTTCCCCCTCACACACTCTCCCATGACCCACACCTATAGCATATATAATTAATAGACTATTAATTTGATACGTCTGAAATTACAACCTGAACTAAGAATTATTAGTGTTGTCAAATGATAATCTATTACCATATTCTTCATTCATTTGAAATAAATCTCTGTAAAACTAATTCCTCAAAGATATTTTCCGTACCTGATTTGTAGTAGTAAATCCAGATCTTGCTATTTTGCATGACTCCAAAGCCTTGATTTTAATCACTTTGTCTTGATGAGCTTGGTATGTCACTTTGCAGTCCCCAGAGATATCGACCTAGAAGGGAAATAAGGACCCAATGTTGGAAATTCTCCTGTGCGCCATTTGCATTTTAATAAGTGCTTTCGAAACTGGGGCTGTTGCAGGGACAGCCTGTTTTTCTAGGTCGACTAGATAAGAAGGCAGGGAGAATCTGATGTTTCTAGTAGCATAGAGAAGTTTTTTCATTCTCCAAAGTTCTTATTTATTAGCATCCTCTTACTATCCCTAGAATCGCATGGGACTTCCTACTTCTCTCAACCATCCAATAAGTGCTGGACAAAGGACCTGGTCAGAACTGAACGGAAACTTCTGGTGAATTGTGATCTTACAGCAAGAAGAATTGATTTCCAACTTGGAATCCAGGCTGTGTGTGTGTGTGTGTGTGTGTGTGTGTGTCCTTAACTGACTAATTGAGCATGATTAGTAACTCCTAGAAAACTGTATGATTAATTCAACTCATTATTTATCACACCAACAATTAGAATGTAGGCAAACACATCTCAACAGGACTGCTTCACTGCTTTGAGTTTTCCCTCAGACCACTGCCAGCAACACAGCCAGCCTCTACTGCAGCAAGTTAACCATCATATTCTCTTGACCCAGCTCCGTGGAAAGCTGTCACCCACTGCTCTATTCAGACTATGAAAAGGGGACTCCAAAATCAGCTTTGCACTTAAGGACAAGTGCGATGCTGGGTAACTTTAATCTCTTGTTTAACCACAGTGATTTCATCTGTAAAATTAAAGGGTTGGCAAAAACCAGTGGTTGCCCAAACTGGATACACAGTGTCCAAGAAGACTCAAATTACAGACTTGCTGGCCCTTGCTAATCCACTGAATCAGAATCGCTGGGGTGACTCCAAAGAATCTAATAAGTTCTAATAACCTTCTTAATAAGATCCCTATGGGAGAGTGGTCCATAGTCATGAACGGGAATGCTGGGATTATGCCCTATTTTTGCTGTAGCGCTAACCACTAATGATTCTACACGTCCCCTAAAATCTCTGATTCAACTCATAAAACATTGGGAGAATGTAAATGAGACTTGACCACCCAACTCCCCTTTTCAGGTCTGGACCCCAGTAGTCATCCTTGTCACAGGATTCCTACAAATCGTTGATACAAATCATCCTGGTTAGCCCGTTGTTGGAGAAGATGTGGCTGTTTGGTGCTGTCCAGACAACACGAAGGGACGTACTAGAACTGCCTTGGGGGCTTTCCTCAGCTCGGTCTTTCTCAGGCAGAGCAGGTAGGTGGGGTCAAACCACCCACCTTTCTACTAACTGCTGAGCACTAACCTTTTGCCATCAGGACCCTTTGTCTAAAAAAATGCTGTGTCATTAATAAAATTAGTAAGTACCTCGTTGGTGGTCCCAGAGCTCAACTGCATCTGAAACAAGCTGGCCAGGCCTCTTTTGAGGTTTTCTATGGCCACAGGCTCATTCTGGTACGAGTAGAATTCTTTGACCTAAGCGGGAGAAAGGAGAAACACGCATAAAAGCCAGAGCGATCATTGACCAGGCTGAGTGACGTGGGTGATAGGACAGGTCAGATTCTCTCCATCTTTGATTCTGGCAGAAAGTGCCCTGCAGTTTCAGAGCTGGGGTTTCTTTTTGTGAAAAGAAGCGATTTTCTAAGACGGTAGGCCAACAAAATATAAAATGTAGCGAAGCTGATCGTGGAGACCCTAACCATGGAGGGTCTAAGGAGGGAAAAGACCCTGAGACAAGGTAAGATTCCTGGGAAAGGAGGAAGGTCCGCCCCCAGAGGGGAAATGAAGACCATTTCTTTAGGACGTGTCAACATGTCAATCTGTCACGCTGTTTGAAACAAGACCGAGCCAAGGTTTACAGTACTAGCTAAGGTCTTGGAAGAGAATGGATGAGAAAGGATCAAAGGTTGAAATGAGGAGGGTGGCTCAGATGCGACAGCAACAGGGATATAAAGGGTCGTCTTTGCTTTATTTCACCTTTTACACACACACACACACACACACACATATGCATAGGAACAATGACAATGTCATAATATTTTGATGTCTTAGCTCATATTTCAAGGTAAAAATGCCAAGAGAATTTTCTGGAAAGCAACTTGTTGCTCCTCACTTTGAATTAACTCCAAACATATCATATAATTTAGGACTAGAACACAGATTGGTATCTTCCATGTAAAACATTCCTGTAAAAGTCCCCATGGGCTTTGATAATTATAGCTGAGCATTTCTACCAGAAATACCCCAGCTCTCCAGATCTCTTCAAGACCAAGCATGACACCTCATGGGGAAACCGAAAGCCTGATGATTAGCCACTGGACTCAATCAAAAGTCAATCTCTATAACTTAGCCTACTTTAAAAACTCATGTCTCAGAAACAGAAATGATTTTACCTGAATTATCCAAATAGCTACATAATATCGCTATTTTTACTGGCTACTTACACGCCTCCTGGTGGCATGTTTTCCAGGTACTTTATCTGACAGCCCATTTTAGTCGCCGGACTCGATGAACCTATAAACGTTGGAATGGTGTCTGTCCGAGTTAAAGAGGAACGGGAAGGGTGACTCATCGTCTGAAAATCCGTGGGATCATATTGTCAAACTGGCAATGTCTCAGACCCAAGCCTGCATTTATGTTCTCCTTGGTAACCGGGGCTTCTGTCCCTTGGGAAGTAGTCACGGGCTACTTCCTTCTCAAAATATTGAATGGCGTGCTATCTTCAGAATGACGGGGACTGCTACCAGTTGTCTCTGAGTCCCTTTACCCCCATGTGTATCACAGTAGAAGTGTGCTCCATAAGGTTTCCAGTGGCTGATTTTTCAAAAGGAGATCCTGCCAGACCTTTTGTCTGAAGCACCTGGGGGCGGATTTGAACCTCCAACTATCTGGTTAGTCGCCAAGCACATGGGCCATTTGCCTCATTCAGGAACTCCACAGGGACCATGAAGGCCTCGCAACTGGGTTACTTGAGCTTGGAAATAGAATGCCCACGTGGTGGTAAAGCGCTCCTGTGCATGGCTCAGGCCTCCTTGACTGGAGTTTAAAACTCTTTAGAAAGAAGAGGTCCAACAGGTGGGGCAAAGACCCTTAGTATCATCCTTACCCCCATTTCTAGACTCAAAACGTGTAGGAACCACTTAGAAGGTTTTATTTAAAATGTCAGAAAAACCACAGCTAGCCTCTGGGTCGTGCAGAAAGTCGAGTACCCTCCAACCCTGCATGGTGACCTCTGGGTCACTAAAGGAAGGGGGTTACGGTCAAGTTTGTATTTGTTCATTTTTGTGATAGACGGAACAAAGTGAACAGTGAGACAGAAAGAGCAGCTGTAATGTTTTTCTTCCCAGTTGTTTCATTCTTTCTATTAGCATTTCTTTCTCTCCTCTAGAAGAAAGAAATGGGAATTTCCCTATGCCATGTTTATGACAACTACTTCCAGGTTTTAAATTCTTTCTTTAGTGACAATCAGTAAGGTCCAGAGTAGACTCACTGTCAGCTAAGTTTCAACCCTGTCTTGGAACTGACCTGCTTTGCAATAAGAGAAGACGGAGAGAGAGAAGGTCAGACGCTGGCAGTTCAGTCCACGTGGCTGTCACTGCAATAAGCTTACGTTCAGTGTTTCACAACAGGAACTGAGTAAGCTTCATTATATCCAGGCTATAAAGCTGATTACTTCATTCAATCCTGAAATGAATTCTGAACGTCTGAGAGCACAGGATTCTTATCTAAATTCCCAGTCCCCAGTGTCCCCAATGAGCTGCAGCAGGCACAACCTGGTTGCAAACTAAGCCTTTTGACCCAAGGAAGCCAGGCCAAGAGAGATGGGAGAGCTGGCGGGACCAGAAGCAGTACTTCTCCCCCTTAAATGTCAAGAGCCCCTTTCCCTTGGAGTCAGCGACATCATTCACTGCGTTTCACCACGAAGAACATGCCTGTCTCTAAAGGTTCCATTAACTTGTACATATTTTTCTAAGACTAAGAGAAGGCAAAATTCTATTACCTGACCAAATAGCATATTTAAACAGAAAAGATCCTAGAAAAACCGGAACTGGTGGTGATATCTGTTCCACTGAGCTGGCGCTGTCCCTAACTGTTACCTGTGACATACACCAAAGTCAGAGTGTGGCTAGCAGCTAGCAGGACAGAAAACCAGCAAGTGAAATAGAAAAGACATTAGGAGGCTTTCTGGACTTCATGTGTGAGTGTGGAGTCACGTGCTGCCCAATTCAAGGCACAAATCAGTATTAGAAAGAACAGAGATGAAGGCCAGGCTCAGCTGCTAGGTGCTTAATTAAATCAGTGCAGACAGCCCAAATCAGAAATGGAAATCTGGTAATTACGCAGTTAAGTGGATTAGCATTTCAGGCTGGAAGAGAATCTGCGCGATAGCTTGAGGCATCTTTCACTTGTCAGTGTTAATGAACTTGACCACATGGCTGTTCCGCCAAGGTGGCTTATGATTGGTTGACAGAATTAAAGAGTCTTGCTCAAACACGCATGTTGGGAAGATGAGAGAGGAGGAATAAAGAAGATAGGTGATGAATATGTATCTCTGTGTTTTGAGGGGTGCTCTCTTAAATGCAAATATGAAGCTTAACATGGGGTCTTGGGGAGGAGGAAAATATAGAGATGCTGATAAGCAGCTTTGAAATCACAGAAATTTCTGGGAATGAAACTAAATTCAATCGAGCATTCAAAATTTTAAAAATAGCTAAATTTGAGCCTGGGGTAGAAATTTTTCTCTACAAAGGGCTGATCAGCAGTTTAGCCAATCTTCTCATAATTTCTCACAGCAAACTGAAATTGTAGGTAAATAATGCTCTTTCTGACAGTGATGTGGCTACAACTTCCACATATTTTCTTGGTCTCCAGGGTCATTCCTATCCCCCGCCTCCTATGAAAAGTACTTTATCATATAACCGAAAGCTATCATGATGTACTTTAACCCACGGGGCCGTGAATCACCGCAGCCTGAGAACTGGCTGGTTGGAGTCACTGTGATAATGATGTGGCAGCTCCAGTCCAGCCTTTGACCAGTGAGGGCACTGTGCCCCTTAGGTGTATAACAAAGGACTTTGTGCCCCACTGCTACCCAAGGAGCTATAACGTGACTGGTTGTCAGAAAGATTATAAGGGCAATTAATATTTTATGAGTCCAGTGTCTTGCTACGTTAAAAGCCTAGAGCAGAAAACAGCAGCATTTCGTATTAACAAAACGGTACCACATACAAGTCAAGGGAGTTATAGATATGGTCATGAAACACAGAATATTGCACGTCAACGAAAACAAGGATTCCTCCAAATATTTGGCAGCTAGCAGACAGAAAGGAGAGTATCCAGGTTTCAGCATGTGCTCTGAAGTTAGACCTGCCGTCTAATCAAACCCCAGCGCCATCCCTTGCTACTTGTGTGAGTCTATATAAAGTGTGGCCCAATGTGAGTTTCTTAACTTTTCTTAACCTTGACTTCCTTAGCCAGGTTGAGAAAAAGATGCTTCTTAAGGCTGGTGTGAGGGAAAAGAGATCATTCGGGCAATGCTTTCGATCACAGCCTGGCCCTGTGAGTGCTGAGGATGTTTGCACTGAGTATGTTTGCTCAAAGGCTTTCTCAAAGCCCAATTCATGTTCGCCTCCTATCGTTTTATAAATTCATTTATTTATCTTGTGAAACATTCCTTCTACAAGCACAGTGCTGAATCTACAGAGAGAAGGGCACCACTGCTGCCCTGAAGAAGCTTACTCTGAACGGGGATGACACATAAGTAGGGAGGAGACATAGTACATTGAAAGCTTCCTTAGGAGTAAGCTGAGGGTGCTATAAGGTTAGGAAGAACATTGGGAAAGCATGGACCATCAGTCAGTCAGTACAAGACAGGGTTCGAGTTCTATGAGGTGAGAGGTTCTATGTCATCATGGGACCCTGATGACATATAAAGAAGAAGGGAAAATATCTCTACCCCAATGACAAGCGAGCACCGAACACCAAAGAGCCAAGAAAAGCGAGAAGAGCCATAAGTGAGCTACATGGGACTCAGAGAGTTCCAAGAGCATATCTATTTCCAGAGGGCTTGAATAGCTCAAAATTTATAAAATAAAAGGCTTATGAGTAAAGCCTGAAGCATAGTGAATATTTTAACACTTGGTGAAGGAAGAGAAAGCATCCCTAAAGATGGCTGTTCATGTTTGATTGTGGGAGACATGCACAACAAGACTCTTCCTTCTGAGTGCCCTTTTGTATTATAGAAATGTGCCCTGCGTCTGGTTAGACCAGAGGATGTGCACTGGTACAGATAGGAACTGGAAATACAGGGAACCCAGGGCGCATGAGCCCTACAGGACCAGTGGTGTGAGTGGTGATACAAGGAGGGTAGAAGGAGAGTGGGTTGGAAAGAGGGAACTGATGACAAGGAACTACATGTGACCTCCTCCCTGGGGGACGGACAACAGAAAAGTGGGTGAAGGGAGACGTCGGACAGGGCAAGATATGACAAAATAACAATTTATAAATTATCAAGGGCTCATGAGGGAGGGGGCAGCGGGGAGGGAGAGGAAAAATGAGGACCTAATGCCGGGGGCTTAAGTGGAGAGGAAATGTTTTGAGAATGACGAGGGTAATGAATGTACAAATGCACTTTACACAATTGATGTATGTATGGATTGTGATAAGAGTTGTATGAGCCCCTAATAAAATGATTTAAAAAAATAAAATAAAAACTTAAAGGATGAAGAGGGGAAAAAAAGAAAGAAATGTGCCCTGTGTACATTATAGAAATGTGCATCATTATTAGTGACTCATTAGATTCCTGAAATACATATTTTAGAGTATTTTCTTTCATTTTTAGTTTACAGATGTACAGATCCTTCTCTGTTTCTCCATTGTGATTCTTAAAATTGTGCTTTCATTTTTATGGATGCCCTTTTGTGTAATATTTGTATCCAAATACAATATTTGTATTTTCATTAACCCAAATATGTAAGGCCTAATACTTTACTGGCCATTATTGCTTTTCAATTCAAAATGCACTAAATCTATCTTAATATGTTGAAATCAAGACATCAGGAATGCACTCTTGCAGAATTTTCTGATCAGATTTTGAAATGGTTATAAAATTGAGTTCATTCACCATTTTAATATATACAATGCTTTTCAAAGTAATATAATTAAAACTTCAAACACTTTTGTAAGATTTCAACTCTATCTTTGAAATGTCACACCTTTTCAAAAGCTTTAACTTGATATTTTAGACAGATATTAGTAATCTCAGCACAAGTATCTACATGATGTACATTTAAGTTACTGTGGGATTATAAAGAGACTTTTCCCCAGCTTTCTCTCCCCCAAAGACATGCCAAACATTAAGGACTTTTTGCCAACATATGGTGGGAGGTCAGATGCTTAGAGACAACCTCCCTGAAGGCAGTCAGTTGCCAGACAACTGTCTGGTCCCACAGGTAGGCCCTGCTCCCTGCTGTTAAGGATAATGTGCTACTTCACCCTAAAGGCTTGTGACCATTAGCTTGGTTCCTGTGGGTGGGTTTACACCCACTGATAATGGTCTCTATAGTTGAGCCAGGGAACAGGTCAAACCAGCTCAGTGACATCTAAAGTTAGGCTGCCATCCTGAACCTAGGATTTGCCTATCTTGCCACATGTATACCCTCAATCCCTCTTCTTTCTATTGCATGTATACCCCTAGATTACCCCTTCCCATTGCTGTATTACTTATAGCACAACCCTGTCCTGTGATGTATGTCTTCACCTGTAATTAGGGGCTTGCAGGTCCCCAGAGAATATAAAAGCCTTGGTTAGCAGCATTAAATAGCTCTCTCTCTCCAGGTGGACCATCAAGTGAAGCTGAGGTGAGCATTGCTACCATGAATTGTGTTTGACTCCATTATTTCAATCTCTCTTCTATCTCTCATGCTCTTTATGACTTTACTATAATCTTTACTTATTATCGCTGTACAATTGCGCCTATCGGACCCGTGATGATGTGCTAGGGGCTGGATTCCCCTGACAAGTTCCATTCTTCCATTCTTACCATTTGTCTGCTTTGGTGGGGGATATATGAAATCACGCTGTAAGGATTTGCTGCATTATACGAGCTGGGCACTATCTCCTAATTTGTTACAGAATGTTCTTTTACTAATGCCTGCTATCAGTAGGCAAAAGCCCGACTCTACTGCAAAGGTTTGCATGTAGGAAACATAAATGGCTAGAAAATGTAAGATACTTCAGAGTCTTTATTCATTCCTCACATTTTACTTTCCAATGTCTATTTATTAGCTATTTTTTAAAAATCCATTTAGCGTGAAATTAATGGCAATATTACCACCTTGAGATAATATCTACTGAGAGAAAGAAAACAGGAAGTTGAAGCAGAAAGATGACAGGCCCCAAATATCACATTTACCTTTCCATGAATTAAGTGAACAAGCACAGGTCTTTGCAGAGCTTCCAGGTTCTCTTTTCCTAGGACTTGGGGTGTGCTCTTTCCTTTGAAGATGCTCCTTTCTCCTCTCTGCTGGTTAACGTTTTCCACATTCACATCATTCATCTGGAGTCACACACAAAATAGTCGATTAGAAAGATCCCCCATGTCTGTTTCCATAAGAATCTCTTGGAAAAAATACACAGGTGGAAGAAAGGGAGGCCAGGGTCTTTTATCTGTCATGTTTCGATCTATGCGATTAACTTTTTGACGACACAAAGAAAAGGCTCAAATTGAAATATTTGAATTAAGTACCAAAGAAAATCTGAGGTTTCTGGCTTACAATTACTAAGACTTGGGCATGGCTCTCCTGTGCCATGTTATCTCTTCTTCCATTCGCTCTGAACTGCTTTCATCTTCTCTTCACTGTTCCTATCATTAATCTGGGATGAATTTTGCCCCCTTCTAAAGATTTCAAGTTCCAGTCTAGTTATTGAACCAAAAAAAGGAGCAAAGATATTTCCGCAAGACTGGTTCATTCTTCCGTTGAGAAAAGACGCAGAGAGATGGATGGTGATGCTTTTTTAAATGACTGTGACTGAATTAGGGGAAGGTTTAGGGAGTAGGTCATCAGGTTGACATTCAACAAACCATGCCCATTTGGTTTCATGATCATTAGTTGCAATCCCCTCCATGTAACATCACAGGTCCAAATTCCTCCCTGCGTTCCCTCTTCCTATTCCTTCTTTCCTAAGCCTGCTTGAACTTTGCCCCCTGGATACCCACTGCCCTTTTTTATCTCACATGGTTGATCATTGTAGGGGTGTGTACCTCACGAGTGTTATTGTTCCCCTTTATGGGGCTATTGTTTGGTTGAAAATTGAGCCATATAGATGGGCTCAGTTACAGACTAGGGTTTCACCCTTCTCTATCCAACCAGTAAGCCGGGTCTCTTTTGTGCATAAGTGAATTTTTAACCAATTTAGAAGCTACTGTTAGAGGCATTCAGAGAAGTAAAGATTGCTTGGTAAATGTTTTATTGCAAAAACATCTCACTAAAAATATCCATCAGTCACAATGTGGCAAATTTTGTTCCAAGCATGTGGTCCTGTGTAGTTGTTTAATTCTAACATGCAGAATTAAAACAAGCCTTACTAAAGGAAGCTAGTGCCTTTAGGTTCTTGAAAATCAACTATGAATCACAATTATCTTAAACTTGGAAGTGGCCCAAGAAGCTACCAAATTCAACCTTGTTTCACAACACAAAAAAATTCTGCACCATCATTACCAACCAAACACTTCCAGTTGGGGGGGGGGAGGGTGTTGTCACCTGGTTCCTTCCTCTGGAAGAATTTAAATTAGGTCTACTCCCTCACTGATAATTCCATATAACAAGGAACTCAGGCACCTCCTAATTTTTTTCTTCACTTTCAGTTAGTGTTGGCTCTGTTGTTTTTCATAATGACATGGATGTTAGACTTCTCATTCACTCCTAGTACACGTTGAGTGGATTGTAGTTTAATGTCCTGATGTATAGAAAATATAGAGCTGGACATTATATTCCAATTATATTCACCCGAATACACTATTCACTGTCTTCTTCTATGATTTAAAAATGTCAGATTACTCTTGTCAGAATGATAAACCTACTCATCTTCGTGGTAGCTAACCAATCAAGCAAAGAGCACAAAACAAGAGCACTTCTCCAAGTCTTTGATGGCATTGAATTTTTGCATCTGGTAGAAAATACCTACTGTGATTTTGATCAGTTGGTCATCGTCACCATCGGGATTTCTCCACAATAACACAGCATCCACATTGGATGAAATTCGGAAGCCCACAGTGTCTTGAAGTTTCCCTTTGCCTCGATCAAGAATAACTTCCGTGGAGTATGTGAGTTTGTAAAGCCGGTCATTATTTAGTGAGAGGCCGGTTGTGTGGCCTGCAGAAAGACAGTGAAGGACATCAAGTTTTAGTTGTAAGGTATCTTGCTGCATTACATTCCTCCTGGTCCAGCTCATAGGGGCCCAGCGGAAGCATAGTAAATATTGACGGAATGAAAGAACTAGGCTGTGGTTCAACCTTTCTATCTGCTGAAATCATTGACTTGCAAAACAAATAAACAAACAATCACCCATTTCAGAACCCTCCATGTTGGTAGCCCTCATAATCAATTTACTGCCTAAACATTGCCCTGGTGGAACTTTGATAAAGTTTGAATGGCATTGTATTCTTCTTTTAGTTAAGTGAGCTTAGTTAGCAGAATAGGTCCTGCCAGGGATTGCTTTACACAATTCTTTAAATAGCTTATTATTTTAATGCATGAATATCAATGCTAATTTTAAAGGTCAGAAGGTAGTTCCCTTGCTTAAGTTAGCTGAAGAATATAATTTACTTTTTTCACTTATCTAGCATACCTTTAATACCCAGATCTCTTTTACATATATGAATTTAAATCAGCTGTCTCACAGGGTCGCTATGAGAGGAGCGGGCTCCACAACAGTGGGGTTGGGTTGGTACCTGGGTACCTTTATCTGTTTTTCTACCAAAAATCTTAGCACAGGCTTAACTTTGGCAATGGTACTTTTCATATCAAATAATATGCAAATCTGTATTGTGAACCAAGAAAACTGACACGCATTCTCAATTAAGTTTAACTTATTTTTAAAAATGTAAAAGAGTAAGATCAAGTCTTTCCTAGAGATAAAGTTCATGGTCATGTAAATTACTTTTATATATTTCTATCTATGGCTACCTAGCTTTCAAGAGATCATAAAAAACAACTTAAGTTTACATTTTTCTTCTGTGGTCTATAGGAGCCCTGGTGGTTTAGTGGTTATGTGTTGGGCTGTGATCCACATGGGTGCAGTTCAAAACCACCTCGGCAGGAGAGAGACTGAGCTTTCTATTCCAGTAAACTGGTACTGTCTTGGAAACCCACAGGGGTCACTATGAGTCAGCATTCACTCATTGGCAGTGAGTTTGGTTTGGGGATGGGTTTTTTTTTTTTTGCCTCAGTGCTAACAGGTCACATTGATTGGTTAATATAATTGGTAACCATACTTACCTTTCCCCTGGGTAGGAAAGAAAGTTGAGGAAACTAGAAGGGAAGTAAATGGGTTTATAAAGCTTCTGCAATCAAGAACACCTCTGTAGAGTACCACTCTCCTTTGACGACTGCAGCACCAGTTTCCCAAAGGAAAAACGATGGGCATAAAACAGCTGAAAGCAGAATGTTCAAGCAGCAAGGTAGGCAGGACCTGAAGAAGGAGAAAACACCTGGAAGGGGAGGGGGACACCTGCTTGCGAAGCTCTGTGACCTCCCTCATCTCCCCCACCCTCTGCAATTTCACTGGGAACTCTGCCGTTAGTTCAAACAAGGACTATCTGACCAGGGAAGACATTTGGGCCAGGAAGATTTACATTTGATGGCCCTTCTCAAATCACAAGGAGATCGGTGTTGTCTTATCTAACCCTTATAGCACTTGGAAGGTTAGCGTGATTATGACGGGCAAGGGAAGATCAACCCATTAGCAGCCATGGTTTGGAATTTGACTTTTGAATGCATAAAATCCAAGTTTCTGAACTATATGAAGGTGTCATCTTCTTTCTTCTTTTGTTTTTGAGTGGGGTTTTGTCTTTTTGTTTGTTTTGGCATGTGTGGTTTTGTCTGCTGGCTCAGTGGTTACACTGTGGGCTGTGAAATGAAAGGTTAGCAGTTCGAAACCAGAAAGATGGGGCTTTCTACGCCAGTAAACAGTTAGTCTTGGAAATTCACAAGGGCAGTTCTAACCAGGCCTGTGGCGTTGCTATGAGTTAGCATCAACTCGTTGGCAGTGAATTGGGGTTTTGTGGCGTGAAACTATGCATAACAAAACATGTGCTGCTTCCACAACTTCACAGTACAATTCGGTTACGCAGGCCACATCTGCTAAGCTATGCCACCTTTCTCCCCAGCCTTTTCCAAAGGTTATCACCCTTATTAATAGAAACCCACACTAGCTTCTCATCTAGTCTGTCAAGTTCCTGTTGTCAATTTGATCACATGCAGATTGAAGGTGACTTTTGATTAAGTGTAAACTATTTGAGGGAAAGTAGCTTTCTTTCAGACTCCGATGCCTTACAAGCTAGCATGCTGTTCACATACTTTTCCTGTCAAAATAATACGAAAAAGCACCACCTAACAGCCGAACAATCCAGGTTTTCACTATCACTTATGGAAACGCTCACTGCCCTTGAGTCAATGGCATCTCATAGCGAACCTAGAGGGCAGGGTAGAACTGCCCCTGTGCGTTTCTGAGACGGTAACTCTTCCCGGAGTAGGAAGCCCCATCTTGCTTCTTCGGAGTGGCTGGTGGGTTCGAACTGCTGATCCTGCAGTTAGCAGCCCAGTGGGTAACCACTACCCCATCAGCATAAAGTGCAGAAAAGAAGGGCCTTGCTCTTCCAGAACATTTCTTATACATCCTTCAATGGGAGACAAAGTCTCGAATGGCTCAAAAAACACAGGGCTAAACTTCAGTGTTGTCCCTGTCACACTTTCCAGTCCTTTCCTTTGTGATGAGTGTCTCTTGGTTTATGTCACTCAGATCTGGTGACAAGAAGCAGCAGAGGCATAGGTTTAACGTAATTCTATTGCATTTATATTGTTAATTTAATATCTCTCTTTAGGGGGTGGCTCTTTCTAGTATACTTAAAAACAATTTTTGACACCAGTGTTAGATAAAATCAAAAGAGAAGTGAGTTTTAACCAAAAGGGAGTCTGTACTTCTTCAATATGTCCTTCACGTCCATTTAAAAGGATCAACTGACTTAAAAGCAACCAAACTCTTAGTTTTGAACCATTTAAGAACTATCTTTCCAATATTCATGGACCAGATTTCAATAAATTCAATAGCACCGTTCATTGACAAGGAGACAAAGTAGAGAAACGTTAAAGGTGAAGTTTGAAGAGATGTGCAATTGCATGATGGTGACCGACACCTTTCTCAGGTCAGGAGTAAGATGATTAAGATACTCAAGGTTATAAAAAAAAAGAAGGGAGGTCATTAACATGAATGGGTTGAAAAGTAATGGCAGGGCCAGGAACTGAGAGAAAGATTAGAAGTGGAGGAATGATAAAGGTGACAACGTTCAGCCGAAAGGTTATGTGTGGGTTATCCAAAGTAAAAGTCCTCTAAAGAAAGCTGGAAGAAGATGCACATATACACCATCCCAAAGTGCAACTAAGGAAAAGTAGGCAATCGGTGTTCCTAAATGGACCGTGTATAAACTGGTGAATCAGTGTTCGCTTTGCTGTGTGTCAGTCCCCAGGGATCCCAAGGTCCAATCCCATTATCTATGGATGCTCCGTGAGTGGGTGGCCTATATATAGGATGGCAGCTAACAATAAAAAGGAAAATGTGAGTTTTTAGTGAGTTCACCCTCACATATTGCTTCTGAATGCTAGTTTTAGGATCTAGAATGCTAACTTCTCTTCCACCCTGTTCGCATTCCAAGCTGCCCTCCTCCTTCACCCGTATGTGTTGTAGATGTGTTAAATCGTAGCATTGGTCGTTTGAATTAGAGATGAGGTTTGAGATGCTGCCTTGGATCAGAATGGCCTGATTTTAACGTGAACCCTTTACAGTCTTTTGCTGCTTAAATGTCAGTCATTATAAAGACAAGAGGTCTATCATTAAATCATGACACCACATAATACAAATGCAGCTCAGTCCTAATTTGACAGACAGCTGTCAAGTTCTGAACCCTTTATATTTGGCATAAGCTGCTTGTCCCCTACAGCCAGTGAAACCTAAGTTTGAGGTCTTCTCACTTTTTCAAGCTCCTCTTAAGACATTAGAAGGGGCCCCTTACAATGTGTGTTCATATCTTTTCCAGTAAAATGTTCAAAAATAAACTGTCCTATCATCTTTTCTCAAAGATTGCCCCTGAATTGGGTGACTTTCAAGTTCTGACTATTTTGAATTGCCTCTGAGCCGATACACAATAAACTGTCGTGATTTGTTAAAGTCTAAAACGTATTTCCTGTGTACCATT